GGCTCTGGAGCAGGGTATGGCTCTGGAGCAGGAGGGTGGTACGGCCGAGTCGTCTCGTAAGGCGGCCTGGTTGTCTCGTAGGGTGGCCTGGTTGTCTCGTAGGGTGGCCTGGTCGTCTCGTAAGGCGGCCTGGTCGTCTCGTAAGGCGGCCTGGTGGTCTCGTAAGGTGGCCTGGTGGTCTCGTAGGGCGGCCTGGTCGTGGTGGTCTCATACTTGCGAGGTGTTGTAGTCTCGTAATACTTTTCTGTCGTGGTCGTCGTTGTGGTGGTTGTGGTCGTGGTGGTTGTTGTGGTGGTCGTAGTGGTGGTTGTCGTGGTGGTCGGGATGGCTGTCGTCTGGTACCGCTCGGGCCCTGCAACCTTGTGGTGGTCATGCTTGTGGTAGTCGTCCTTGTGGTAGTCATCCTTGTGATAGTCATCCTTGTGCTTGTGGTAGTCATCCTTCTGATACTTGCCATGGTCGTCCCCGTGCTTGTCATCATCGTGCTTGTAGTCATCCTTCGGGTGGTATTTCTCGGTCGACGGGTAGTATTCTGCGTGACACTGGTGGCAATAGCCCTCGAGAAGGCCCTCGAGCTTCCCACTGGAGGTGCAGTCCTCTGTGCAGCGTGCCAGACCGATCCCGTGGTAGCCCGTTGCATGGCAGAGGTCGATGCAGTACTGCTGCTCACTTCGACAGCCGCACGCTGTGTCGGAAGCAGCACTTTGAACTCGGAACTGCAACAAGCCGGCATCCTCTCCGTCTGACTGGTCACAGAAGCCGCACTCGCAATAGCGCTCGAAGATGGGCCACACCTTGGCCTCGTTCTTGATGCAAAGCTCCTCGCAGTGGGGGCACTTTACGATGTCACACCACTTTGTGCACCAGCATCCAATGTCCGAACACTGATCAACGGTAGTCGTCGTCATTGTCGTGGGACTGTAATTATCATCGTCGTCGTAGTCGTCATCATACCTGTCATCGCAATCGGCACAGTAATCGAAGATCTCATGGACCAAGTCATACTCCGCTAGGCATACCTCCTCGCATGGTGCGCACGTGCTGTCCCCGCAATAGAAGCCGTCGTAGCACAAGTCTGCGCAGAACTTGTGCCTGTCGCCATCACTATGGCCACAGTAGGAGTCGAACACATCCCAGATGTAGTCCATGTCTTCGTGACAGTACTGATCACACTTGTCGGCAGGGTAAACCTCAAAGTCTGCCTCGCATATGAGGTCGCAGATCGCACCAGTGCTACAGGTATCGACCACGCTCGACTTCAATTCCAGGAAGCTTGGCTTCAAACCTCCTACGACGTCGACATCTGCGTGCACGGAGCTTTGCCACAGCCCCGCGCAAAGGAGCGCATGAAAGAGGGCAATCGTTCTCATGGCTGAGCCACCTATAACAATGCTTTTGAACCGTGCTGCTGGCACGCACATGTATCGGAGTCGCAAACTTCTGGCAGAGAGGAATCCGGAAGCTTGACTTGGTTTCCAGGGCAACGGCCAGGCGCGCTTTCCCAGGAGCTGGTCTCCATTCGCATCCCGCTCAGCCTGCATCACGAGTCTCTCGGCACAGCTGGGCCAGACTTTTTGACTCTGAGTCCACACCTGCTTGCACGGTACTAGCAATCTGCTGAGTGTGCACGAAGTGAGACATCGTGAGCCCGCTGCATGGCCACAGCACTTCTTCGTGAGGCTGAGTTGACGTACTAGAGAAATGGTCTAACACAAAGCTCTGGATTGTCGAGTCTCCGCCATGCAGCAAGCAGCCACTCCACTACAGCCGCACCTCCTTTAGGAGGTGCGGCAGCTTTAGGCCAGGCAGTGTACGAGAATCACAAAGCCTTTGGAAAGAGCTCCCTATATCGTGAAGCGGCAACAAAAACTTCACGTTCACTGCCCTCAAAATCAAAATGAAGAACGAGTGCACCGAATGATGCACAGCGCATCTCCGAATAATCATTAAAAGGCCCTACCTGGTCTGGGCTCAGTCTCAGTAATGTTTGCCGAAGATCTCTGGGTGCTTCCATTTGAAAGCTGCCGCTGCTGCCTCGGCCTGGTACTTCTTCCCTTCGTAGTAGGCCTTGGCCTTGGCTGCCTTCACCTTCCAGTCCCATGGAACGTCCCTCTTGGGATACTTGCCGAAGTAATCCGGATGCCTTGCCTTGAAGGACTCTGCCTTTGCGATGGCCTTGTACTTCTGTTTGGCGTAGTTGATCTCGGCCTTTTTCGCCTTGATCTTCCAGTAGTATGGCACATCCGGAGCCGGGTAGTAGTCTGGAGCAGGGTAATAAGGCTCTGGAGCAGGGTATGGGTCTGGAGCAGGGTATGGCTCTGGAGCGGGGTATGGGTCTGGAGCAGGGTATGGGTCTGGAGCGGGGTAATACGGCTCTGGAGCAGGGTATGGCTCTGGAGCAGGAGGGTGGTACGGCCGAGTCGTCTCGTAGGGCGGCCTGGTTGTCTCGTAGGGTGGCCTGGTTGTCTCGTAGGGTGGCCTGGTCGTCTCGTAAGGCGGCCTGGTCGTCTCGTAAGGCGGCCTGGTGGTCTCGTAGGGTGGTCTGGTCGTTTCGTACGGCTTTGTGGTCGTCTCATAAGGCTCCGGCGTGGTGGTCTTGTACGGCTCGGGTGTAGTGGTCGTTGTGGTCGTTGTGGTCGTTGTTGTCGTTGTGGTCGTTGTGGTCGTCTTCGAAGTGGTTGTGCTCTGCTCCGACTTGGTTGTAGTCTTGTAGTCGTCCTTGTGGTAGTCATCCTTATGGTAGTCGTCTCCATGTCCATGGTAGTCGTCCTTGTGATAGTCATCCTTGTGGTAGTCGTCTCCATGGTGGTCGTCCCCATGGTAGTCATCCTTGTCATCGTGATGGTAGTGCTCATCGTGGCACTCGTGGCAGTAATCTTCCAAGATGCCCCCGAGCTTGCCACTTGAGTAGCAATCCTCCGTGCACCGTGACAGCCCCTCTCCACCATAACCAAGGCCATGGCAGATGTCGATGCAGTACTGGTGCTCACTTCTGCAGCCGCACGTCGACTCAGACGAAGCAGCACTGTGGACTCGGAACTGCAACAAGCCTGCATGCTCTCCGTCCGCCTCGTGGCAGAAGCCGCACTCGCAGTAGCGCTCGAAGACGGGCCACACCCTGTCCTGATTCTTGTAGCAAAGCTCCTCGCAGTGGGGGCACTTGATGATGTCGCAGATGTCATGGCACCAGCACCCCAGGTCGTTACACCTGTCAGCAGTTGTCGTGGTCGTCGTGGTCTTGTAGTAGTCGTCGTCGTAGTCATCCCCAAAGTCATCGCAGTCGGCACAGTAATCGAAGATCTGATGGACCAACCCAAACGCTTCCACACACTTGTCTTCACAGGGTCCGCATGTAGAATCCCCGCAGTAGAAGCCGTCGTAGCACAGATCTGCACAGAAATGATGCTTATCATGGAGGCCTTCTCCGCAGTACTTGTCGAAAACATCCCAGATGTAGTGGATGTCTTCGTGGCAGTACTCGTAGCACTTGTCCCCCAGAGGGTACACCATGAAGTCCGTCTCGCAGATTTCCTGGCAGACGTTGTCCGTCGTGCAGGAGTCGACGCCGTCGTTGGACAGACTCAAGAATGCGGGCTGTGCCTCTTTCTCGAAGACTTGCTGCGGCAGCTGCAGCTCCTCTGCATTAGCCACGTGCTCCACACATGCGAACAGCACGAGCAAGGGGGCAAGCACCATGCTTGTGCCTTCGGCACCAAGCCAGGCCAGAAATAAGACGGTTCGGTAGGACTTTAGCCGAATGGCTGGGCGCGGGTTTGCATGAAGCATGAATGCAGCAGGGCACATCCAGAGACACGAAAGAGACTGCATGCCAAGGCATTCTTGGCTGGACCGGGCCCGGTACGAAGATGCGGTGCAGCCGGTCCCGAAATGGGGCGGACCTCGCCGTCTGGCCGCCGCAGCTTCGGAAGCCAGGAGATGACCCGGATCGCGGGAAATGGCGGGACCAGGACCTGGAGTCTGCCCTTCCAACTTTACAGCTGCCGTTTTCAGGCTGGGGCTGGAGCTTCACAGTCACGAGTTGAACAGACATCCTTTCCACTTTCCACTTGCTGTGATTTCCAGCTCATAGCTTGGAGCCTACGTGTGGTCATCTCGATTGCTCACAAACCCGGGCTTCTGCATGCACGGCGGGGCTGGCACCGCATCGTAGTGCGGAACTCCCTCGGCCGCATCGTCGCTACCAACTCCGGCGTACGCTGGGTCCTGCAGTCTTTGAGAGTTTCAACTTCCGCGCATGTTAGGAAAACCTTGATGGCCGAAGCTACGCCTGCATCATGGAGCTTCTGTCAAGAGACGTCCTGCTGACATTCCAAGGATCCCTTCACTGCACTGCATGTCAGCAAAGCAAAAGATTGAATATCTGCCAGAAGGAAGACGGCAGCATAGTGCGAGCCACCAAACAAACACCCACCCAGCAATCTGAACACTGTGTAGTCGTCCTGCACCGGAGCTTCCAAGATCTGCCGAGGGAGCGTGACTCTCAGATTTCTTTCCATGCTGGCCATGTTTCATGGGTTTCAGAAGACTAGAGGGACAGACTGAAGAGAACCTGCTCCGGACCCTGGCTTTTGAACTTAGATGCCAGCAAGCCCACAAAGATCACGGCAGGGAGCATCCTACGACGAGGCCTCTGTCACGGTGTCCTTGATCAAGTGACCGTCCTGACTGTAGATTCGACAAGCCATCTAATCAGAATCTAATCATCTAATCAGGGACCCGGGACCGGACATTGTCGACTCAGGGATGGCTTTCGACAGCTTACAGCTCAAGACTTGCAGTCCAGCATTTTGGAGCCGTAAGCATTGGAGGTAAGGCCAAGGCAGCCACAGGTTTCGAAGTTCTAGGATTCAGATTCGATGTCAACTCGGTAGCTCGTGGTGGAGATTGTTACGCTCCTTATGGTGCTACCACTTCACCGGGTGTCAACTGGATGAGCAGAAACACTATCTACCCACCCTGAATCTCCGGCAGGTCCCGAAAGTGCGGGGCGATCCGAGGCTGTGAGAAGCGGATGTTGAGGGGGTTCAGCAGCCGCCACCGGCCTCCCGATTGATGCTTGCTCTTGCAAGGAGCGTAGGGCGCGACAGGGCATCGGGCTCACAACACGCAACGCCACACCTTATGCGAACCCCTGCATCCACTGTCTATTCGATCTTGAGCTTGGGCTTTGAGCTTGCGCACAATCCTCCACTCACAGAGTCGGCCTTCCTCGCGTGGAGGCATACTGTCAACAAATGTGCCTAAAATTGGCTGAGCGCAAAGCTGCGGCACAGAAAGAAGCCGAGCCATGATTCGAGGTTCAGCGTTTACGCAGAGGTCCGGCCCTGGCTGTGAGAAGAGCACGCCTCCTGCACGTTTCAGCTCTTGCACAAGGGCATTTGCCAGAAACTCTGGCACCACACCACTGATCTAACCCAACACCATGAACACAAGCCCGTATATACTTGTAGAACCCGCAGACTGACTTTGCAAAGAGTGAGGAAGCTCATTTTGCCCGTGTGCCCCAGCTCTTTGTGTACCGGCGAGTGGGCAGGGTGCTGCGTCCTGCAGTCGGACAACTGGTTGAAGGTTTTTGCACCGAAGATACACTGAAGAAATGATCGAAGGGGCCAGCGTGGCGTTGCATGTCAGACTTGGCATGGCGACATTGGGAAGCCTGCCAGCACCTGTAAATTTCAGCCCTTTCACCCAACTGGGAAACTTGTGCAGAGCCACCTTCGTTGGAAGCCGCGGTCAGCAGCACAGATGGCGCCTGTCATTTGCATCGGCTTGAATCACGAAGCCAAGCTGGCAAAACAAATCTTGAACACACATCGCCGGATTGCCGAGTCTTTGTCACGCACTAAGCGGTCACACCACTACCAACGTTGCGCTGGCCCCACATCCGTTTGGAGGTGCAGCAAGCATTGACCAAGCAGCAAACCAGAATCAGGAAAGCCATGGAAAGAGATCACTTTAAAACCATTCAACCATTGCATCTGGTTTGATTATGTTTGATTCCCAACAATCAAAACCGAAATTCAAGTTCGCGACCCTCAAAACTTTGAGAAAAGCGTGGAGAACTCTGTGCACCAAGCGCTGCACATCTCCAAATAATCATTAAAAGGCCCTACCTGGTCTGGGCTCAGTCTCAGTAATGTTTACCGAAGATCTCTGGGTGCTTCCATTTGAAAGCTGCCGCTGCTGCCTCGGCCTGGTACTTCTTCCCTTCGTAGTAGGCCTTGGCCTTGGCTGCCTTCACCTTCCAGTCCCATGGAACGTCCCTCTTGGGATACTTGCCGAAGTAATCCGGATGCCTTGCCTTGAAGGACTCTGCCTTTGCGATGGCCTTGTACTTCTGTTTGGCGTAGTTGATCTCGGCCTTTTTCGCCTTGATCTTCCAGTAGTATGGCACATCCGGAGCCGGATAGTAGTCTGGAGCTGGGTAGTATGGCTCTGGAGCGGGGTATGGGTCTGGAGCAGGGTATGGCTCTGGAGCGGGGTATGGCTCTGGAGCAGGGTATGGCTCTGG